GAAAGAGAAATGTTGCCTCACCTCCAGGTTTCCCTTTGTTTGGGGGCCCAGAGCAACGCATGTTAGGATAAACAGAACACATTTCTTTGTGGTCACAGGTGAAGGCCGAGATGGAATCCCAAGTGTCTTTGGGTGTGATAAACTTGTCCACAGTAGCAGAGATAAATAGGCGGATTCAACCACCAGGATTGACGTTCATTTGAAGTTTCTTTTTAAAAACAAACCTAGAACAAAGGAAGCACATTGAGAGCCGAGACTTACAAAGGAAAAGGAACTATGCTTGCCAATGAAATATTGAATGTTGTATGACTGGGTTGGCAACGTAAAATATTGAGCTGGGGAATTATTAACCTGCTGTATCGTTGTAAAGTGGAGAAAGCCGCTTTGGTCTAATGGTTAAGGGAACCATGCTAAAAAGTGAGAGACTGTGAGTTCTAGTCCCGCCTTAACTATGAAAGTCAACTGGATGACTTTGGGCCAATCACCAGGAGACAGTGAGTTCTAGTCCTGCCTTAGCTATGAAAGTCAACTGGATGACTTCGGGCCAATCACCAGGAGACAGTGAGTTCTAGTCCTGCCTTAGCTATGAAAGCCAACTGGGTGACTTTGGCCCAATCACCAAGAGATGGTGAGTTCTTGGCCATGAAAGTCAACAGTATGACTTTGGCCTATCACCAGTCAGTTCTGAAGGAGCTTCTTAGATGAGAAATGAAACTTTTTCAAAGAAAAATCCAAGAAAGTCTGGTTGCCTTTTGGAAAAGCACATTCGGAAATCTGGATAATTATCTAAACAGGGTTCAAACTGGCCAATGTTTAGGAGTTGACACTACTCAATTTTCTAGGAAATTAAAAGGGGGAAAATCCTACAGAAAGCTATCCGAACCATTTTCTTATACTTCCTAAAGAGGTGTCCATATGATTTACCGTGACTTGAACTCAACTGAAAAAGCAGACTGTTATAAACCACATTGTCAATTTTTTTTAAAATGTCTTTTTTACAGGTGGAATTTGAATGGCTACGACAGTTTTGGTTCCAGGGGAAACGGTACAGAAGATGTACTGATTGGTGGGACAAGCCCATGGCCAATCTAGAAGACCTTTGGAGACAAATGGAGCTCATGGTATGTTCTTCTTAAGTTCTTAGGAGTGTATTCTGGACTTCTATTGCCTGTTGCTTCCAAATTACTAAATTTACACCAATGAGCAACTTATAAACCATGTGGCCTCAAATCATGATTAAATTTCAGCCTTGAGATTCAGTGGCCCAAAAAGCTAATTCTTCCTCTTTTTTTTTAGCTCTCCAAAATAGGAGGCAAAATAGGTCTTCCTTAAAATAACCGTTGCAGTGATTCAAAACCACCAGCCCAGCCTCTCAAAAGAGAGGTTGAATGTTGCTTTCCTGCCAGATAGTCTCTATGTCAATATTTTGCTTTTAAACCAAGTTCTGACTCTGTGATGATAACAAAATAGACTGTTCCTTTGGTGCTTTATCAAAGAATTGGGAACATAACTGATTTGAAAAGTCATAAAGGAGGCCCTGGACTCTGTCCTGGGAGGACATCTCGATGCCTTGCTATGTTAGAAGGACCTCTGCCACATCTCCATGGCCTCCAGGGTGAATGGTTGTTGTTGTTAGTTGCGAAGTTGTGTCCAACCCATCGCGACCCCATGGACAACATTCCTCCAGGCCTTCCTGTCCTCTATCATCCTCTGGAGTCCATCCATCCATCCATCCATCCATCCATCCATCCATCCATCCATCCAT